CCTCCTCGGAGGAGCAGCGAGGACCAGGGCGGGGAGCCCTTCGCCGGCTCTCGCCCGAGATGCTGCCAGGGGCTGAGCCCCCCGCCCCGCTCCTCGGCTGCCCAAGGAGATGCCCGCTGGCCCCTCTGGGCACCGCCAAGGGACAGCGGCCCTGAGCCCCCAGCCCCGATAGCGCAGGAAGCGCAGAGAGGAGCCGGGGCCAGACCCGCCCGGACTGGAGGAGACGGGGGCACCAGTAAGTTGCCTGCTGCTTCCCGGGGCTTTTGCTTGCTCCTTTGATTTCCTCCCGCCTCCAGCCTGCACTTTCCCCTGTGCCACATGCCTCTGCTTGCTTGCCGGGTGCCCGGGCGGGGGGCAGTGGGGCACATGGCTGTGCCTTTCCAGCCGCCGTCCCTCCAGCCGCCCCAGGGCAAACCTGGGAGCTCTGCACCCCGGGGAGGGGAGGGGCTGGGCAGGGCAAGGCAAGGCAAGGCAGAGGTCAGTGGGTGCCTGTGTGGGGGAGAAGAGGGGGGCATTTTGCTACTGACTGTAGAAGGAGGCTGTGTCTTGATGATTTACACACACACACACACACTCTCTCTCTCTCTCTCTCTCTCTCTCTCTCTCTCTCTCTCTCTCTCTCTCTGCAAGGCAGGGCTGGGGGCATGGAGAGGTCCTGTGGGGTCAGGGCTGGGGATCTGCTCTGGAGGCTGGGATCCAGGGCCCCCCAGGCTTGTCTAGGGGCTGGTGGTGGAGTGATATGGGGACATCCCCCCCCCCCCACTGGCTTCTGGGGCTGGAGGGGAGTGGGGCTAACTTCCTCTCTCCCCCATCCCCTGCCTGGCATTGGGGTCGCCTGCAGGCTCTAGCTGCTCCCATTCCCCTGATGCTCTCCTCTTTCTCTCCGCAGGAGGCTGCTGCGGACCTGCTGCCCTCCAGGAAACCATCGTGGGGGTTTAGGTGCATTCTTCATACCCCCTCACTTCCCACTGCAGGCATCCCCGGAGCAGGCCTGGGTGCATCTGCTTCCTTGGATGCACCTGGGTAGAGCTCCCCCGCGTCCCGCAGAAGAGGTGGCTGCTGCTGACGCCAGGATCCAAGCCGCCCCATCGGGGGGGGGCCCAGGCAGGAGCAGGGCAGGTGAAGCCTGAGGATCACAGGGCAGAGAGTGGGGGGGTAACCCAGGACCAGGATCCCCAGGCACCAATCCCCCTTGAGCCATGCTGATGCCCCCTCTGAGCCACCTCCCCCTCACTCCCTAGCCCGAGGCCTCCCATTGCTGGCAGCCAGGACAGGGACCCCCCCTTTACCGTTCCCACCACCCCTACCCGGCAGCCCCCAGAGGTGCGTATCGTAGTGCAAAGCAGCAGCCCAGCCAGCGGTCTCCAACAAGCCCTATCCTTGGATGCCCCCCGGAGCGTTACCTGGCTTGGTGGCGGGGGAGGCGAGAGTGTGGCTGGGGCTCCCTGGCGGTGGGGGACGTTAAGATGGTGAAAGCTCCCCGGCCGAGAGCGGCTCCGCGGACTCCAGGCCACCAGGCTGGGGGGCAGCAGCATGGACAGCGCCGCCTCGCCTGGGCACCCCAGCAGCTGGTGAAGGATGAACGCGCGGGGCTCGCAGGACACGCAGCCCAGTGACGACCCCGGCAGCGGCAGCAGCAGCAGGAGCCACAGCGAGAGGGAGCGGATCCGGAGCCGTATGAAAATGGTGATTGGGCAGCTGGAAGGGATCCTGCAGGAGCTCAAGGAGGTGGCCAAGGAGCTCCGCGAGGTAAAGGCACCAGGGAAGGCAGTGGCCGGGTTGGGGGCATGTGGTCTCCTCCAGCAAACTTTAGGAGAAGCACTGGTTGGCCTGGAGCAGGATCCACCGGGTTCTGCTGGCTATATGTGTCTGCTCAGGGCAGGTTGAGTTTCCCCCCCACCCCACACTTATCCCATTACAGATCATTCCCGGTGTCCTGATCTGCGCTAGGGATGGGGGTGGAGAACTATCCCCACAAAGCGACCCAAGGGTCCCTGGCTTTCCCCTGCTCCCCTGGCTGGGAGATCAGATCAGATCCCCTTTGAGATCTTAGAGAAGCCGAGATCCATCCCCTTGGGTGTATGGAACAGCTCCATCCTAGCCCTGAGCTGGAGGTCTCCAGGACTGTTGCCTGGTGCAGGAGGAATGAGAAGGATCTGAGCTTGCAAAAGGAGGGTGCATTGCCTGCCCAGCCCCAGCTGTTGAGCCAAGGTTCCCTTAGCTGAATCGAGCCCAACAGGGGAGCAGAGGTCACTAGGCCGTAGGTGGATCAGGTGCTCCCAGCGGAGACTGGCCCTGGTGTGTCTAATGTGGCGGTGCCCTACAACGTGGTCACTTGCTGACTCTTCACGTTTCTGGCTGGTTTCGACTGTTTAGTGCGGCTGTCACAGTTTGTTTGCATGTAATGTCCTTGCTTCCTTCCCCTTTAAGAGCATGGGGAAGGGGTGGAGAGACGGGGCTATGTCTTCCAGTGACCCCAGGAGGTGCTGAAGGCCATGCCTGCTCCTGGTTGATGGGGGGGTGGGGGAAAGGGGATCGAATTGAAATGTTTGGCTAAATTTGGCCCCATGCTGTGGGGGGCTAATTAGGGCAACATCCTATCAGTCTCCCTAGCAAAGGGTGGAGCTTTGCTGCTGGAGAGAGAGAGAAACTTGCTGCTTTCCAGCTGGGTTTCCTTGGCTTGTTTGTTTTTCGGGAATTTGCAGTGTTGCAGAGTGCCGCAAATACCACAGAGAAGTCTTGAAATCGGAGGATTCCCCCCACTGCTCCCTCCTGCCTGCAATTTTAGTTGCAAGGGCATTTCGCTCAGACCTGTGAGCTCTTGCCACCTTCCTTTTTTGCTTTTTTTGTCTGGGTAGCAGGCCTGGAACTGCACAAACTAGTCTGGGAGCATGTACATGGATGTCCCAAATCAAGCCAGGGCATTAACAGGTTCTGCTAAGATCACAGGGCCCAGTCCATAAACCCATATAGTTCCTTGGCTCTGTGCTGATGCAGCTGCAGATCTGTTCCTTCAAAGCCTTCTGACTTTTTTTTCAGCCTCCTGAGATTCTGTAGGTTTGATTTCACTCCTGAAGCCAAATGAAGGAGAAGGGCCCAATTCTCCAGCACCTGGAGCTTTGTGTTGTCACCTGCTCCCGTGCTATCACACTGGAGTGGTGATGTCTCATACCTCCTTTGCTCTGGGGTTAATGATGGAAGGTGAATCGTGCTCTCTGACCCATTTCCCCCACCCTGAATGCAGTCTGATGGGACCGGTGTCCTGGCTGACTTTTTCAAATGTGACCACTTATTGTGGGTTACAAATGTTTCAGCCTTGAGTTCCTGCAACACAGCACCTCTGGAATTCAGGGCATCAGTATCTCACACTGGCCTCCCATAATCGAAGGCCAGTAATATACAGTTGTCCTATATCTGGTCCATCTGAATTCGGACATTGGCCATTTTTTGCTGCCACCCTGTTCAAAGAATAAATGCAGATTGAGGTTTATCTCAGTGGGGAAGTGTGAGGATGCTTGTTTACCGCTCCTGTGAAATAAAATAGTTGGAGGGAGTGCACCCCAAATTTCCACAGGTTGCATGAAGGGGATGGAGTAGCAACTTTGGGACAGATGTTGGGACATTTCAGCAAGCGGAAATAGAAGGTCCTAATGGAAAACACTGGATAGCCTAAAATGTAGTACTAGAAACTGTGCGTGATAAATGCCTTGTGCCAGCGTCAACTCTTACTTGACTCTGAGTCATACCGGGGATGGATTTTGTTCAGTGAATTTCATCTTTCCAGTGGTTTAACCTGGACTCTTTCTTTTCTCTTGTTGCCCCATTCCCTTTCAAGGCTGAATTGGGCCTGGTCTGCAAGATGGGGAGGGTCACATGGTGTTATTCTCACATGCCCCTGTGTGTCCACGGTGTGGCAGGAGAGTACAGCTGCTGCTTCATGGACCTGAGCCAAAGCCCACTGGAGTCAGTGGGGACCTTTATTAGTCTGTCATTCAGTCTCTGTATTTGCACATCCAGCAGCAATAGTCACCTGAAGGGTGTTGTGACAAGGAGAATACAAGGGGGATTGCATTCACCCAGGTGACTTAAGGGAGGATTGCCACCCCACCATGGACCTCTGGCTGAGCCCACCAACTAACTAGGACCCTTTTTGGTCACTGGAAGCTCCATTCCTTTCTATTCTTTCTCTTGGCCACAGTTTATAGCTACAGTCCAGCCCTTGCTACCTTCCCCAAAAAAGCTCTTCCTGGGAAGTAGTAGGGCAGAGCTTTATGTGGGAATCAGATGGGACTCAAGGAAGTCACGGAAAAACCTCTGGGTCAACTCCTACTCTACTTGCCTCTTGGCCACTGGGAGTTCCTCCAACACTACAAGTCGATGCACAAAAGGCTCGCAAAGGTATGGAGCGAGGGAGGGACTACAGCCTGTTGTGGCTTGTTGCTTTTCTTCCTAATCTGGTTATGCAGAGATACTTGACCTGTGTCCTGGGGTGTGAGCTGGCTGAGGAGACTTGGTAGATGTGTGGGCATCTTAGCATTGATGAATTACTGAGTCCGGAGCTGTTGGGTTCACGAAATACATGCGTTTGTCCTCTTTGTCTCATGGACTACCTTGGAGTCTAGAAGGCATAACACGTCATTAGGACAATTTGGCTGATATGTGTCCTTTCATTTTGGTTTTAAGCCAGTGTAAACTCTCTGTAGCCCTGCTATGGAGACAGCAATGCCCAGAAATCCTGGACAAACAGCTAAGCTGAACAGAAGGGAAAAGACCAATCAGCCTTGTATGTGCTCACTTGACTAATGAATAACTTGTCTCTCCTTTGGAAAAAGCCATTCATACCTGCCACAGGGGGAAGTGGAAATGATAATGTTAGTGGTTTGGGGATTACGGAGCAAAACTGGGGATGGAGGGAAGAAGAGATAATGTGTGTATTTTCACGGCTATCGGCACAATAGTAGTTAGAGAAGAAATGCCTCTGAGGGCAGGATTGCTGATCTTGTAGTTAAGAAGATCCGGGTTGTAGTCCAGGCAGGCTGATTGTTAGTAAACTCAGCTGGTTAGACTGTAGTGCTAATAATGTCTAAATTGTAGGGTTTATCCCTGTAGGAGCCAAGAAAATCAATTTGCATGTCCATGCAGCAGGGAGTGTGATGTTTAACTGCTTCACTAGGTTAAATCCATCCATGCCTATAAAATGCCTTGAGATCTTCAGATAGAAGGGCAGAAGTGTGGGTCGTCTTATAAATCCTGAGAGCTGGTGAACAGAGCAGTCGGGATACAGGGCTCCTACCCCAGCTCTGTTTCAGTCTTGTGCCCACCCGAGGTGGGCAGCTGCTCGGAGAGCTCTTGTGTTTATTTAGAGAGCTTCATCTCGCAGCTGGCTTCTTGGAGCCCATAGGTTTGACTCCACAACTGAGACTCCCACGTGATCCGTTATGCTCTTACAAACACAGTAGGGGCAAGCCAGGTCAGCGCTGGAACAAAGACCTCCAGGGAAACGTCTGGCAGTGGAGTTGGATGACTCGGGGCCTGTTCTCCACCCGTAACATGGGTCATGATTCTGATAGTGGTTCACTTATTCGGTGGGAAGGCGTGGATGAGTTGAGCGGCGGGGTCCAACATTTAGTACCTGGTTCGTTTCCCCTCTGAATCAGTAACAGCTAATGTTTCGGCATGATGCACTGTACATTGTATAGGCACTGACAGCCTGCGCTTTTATGTTCTTTTAAAGTTTGCTTGGAACTTCTCACAAAAGCAAAGCCCCTTTAACCCCAACCTCCTGGCCCAGCTCCAACACGATAATTACTACCTAAACCCCCCCCTGCCATTTCACTTGAAGCTGCCTTTTCCTTTCTTTGCTTTCTGGCGTAAACTCACACCCATTGTTACTCCATGCTTGTTGCTCAGTTAACCAAGTTTTCAATGAGACGGCAAAGCAGCTGCTGGAGAATTTGCAGCCTGTCTTGATCTAATATATTCTGAAATCCTTCAGCATGGAAGGCAGGGAGCATGGTATTAATACTGATTAGCAAGTGAAGGTTAGCAGGCACGTTCCTCTTACCAGCCAAGCCCACAAGAACGTGTGTTTTAAGGCTTGTCCCTTTTGTGCATCGTAGTGTTGCCCTTGGGTTGGTCATTGGCTGTCCACATGTGACTCTCAACCTTGGGAAGTGTCTTTGTGTTTCTAGTAGGTGAAGTGTTTCAGTTCCTAAGGGATCCCTGCCTCCCACTGAGAACCAGACCTCGTTCTACCCCAGGATAGCTGCAGTTTGGCCTCAGAAATGTAAGCAGTGTTTGGCTTGCATATGTCTCATCTCTAACAGAGGGAATCTCCTGTGCTTCTAAGGAACACGTAGAAGTGTTATATCTGAGAGGAGTAAAGAGAAGAGGATGTTTCCTTCATGCTCTTGAACACATTTCCTGTAAAGACAAATTCACTGTTTTTTTCACTTTACAGTTTCTGCCTTGGTGGGGGGGAGCTTTTCTGAACATCAACAGGGGAACCAAAAGACCCTAATAAAAATCTACAGGATTTAAAAAAAAAAAAAAAAATCAGAATGTGAAGCCATTTTTCAGTTATGGTGAGATGACTTCACACTGCTCTGGCAGCTTAAAGAGGCTTTAAAATGAGAGCAAATATAATTTATGCTCACTTTAAAGTCCTTCTCATAGAGTCATAGATTTTTTTTTAAGGCCAGGTGGGACTCTTCTGATCATCTACCCTGACCTCCTTCCTAACACAGGCC